CTATATCGGGTGATTGCTCGGCATCCCAAAAGTCTTCGCCAGAAAACTCTAATTCTGATGCTTTGCCGGAGAGTTCTGGTAGTAAGATGAAGGTGGAAGATGAGAGAGAGAGGGGGGAGAATAGATATGGGGTATGGGATGGATTTTAACGTATCCCTTCCTTCAACTAGATGGAGAATAGAGGGGGATACATTAAACGTATCAATTCCTTCAACTGGATGGATTTGATGCTTTGCCGAAGAGTTCTGGTAGTAAGATGAAGGTGGAAGATGAGAGAGAGGAAGAATAGATATGGGGTAGGGGATAAGAGAAATTTGAGGGGATGGGAGAAATTTGAGTGAAGAGAGAAAAATAATACAAAGCTTATTTTATGGCTTAAGGGTAGGAGGTCACCATAAATAGATATTTGGCTATAAAAAATCAAAAGGTAGCTATGGAATATAATTTTTTTAAAAGATATTTATTTAAGATAAATAAGATATCAACATTTGTTATAGGAGATAACTAATCCATAAAAATACAATGAAGAAAGAAAAAAGATAGAACAAAATATTTCAAACCTAGATTGCACCTAAATATACAACCCAATGAATCTAGGATTAAAATCAGAAATAGCCAGATTTACAACTGCTAATTAAAAATTAGCCATTAATATTAATCAAAATTTAGCCACTTTTTCATGCGAAAATAAAATCTAAACAAAAACACCATTAAAAATCTAGAAAAATTCCAGCATAATATGCTGGAGTTCAAACTTTTTACATATGAGATTCCAGCATAATGTGTTGGAATTCATATTACTGGAGTTCCAACATAATATACTGAAAATTTATACGCATGAGTTCCATAATCCAGTATAATGAAATTTCTGTATTTCAGCAGGGTACTTCATCCAGATTTTAGCTCCATATTAAATAGTGGATATTTTTCAATAATTTTACAAACGCGGACTATTTTTCAATAATCACATGTCCACATGTAAAAATGGCTACGCCATGCCATTTGGACAGGAATTTAACTAGCCCAATCAATACAACCCCACTTCAAGAAGCCCAAAATCCAGCCCTCTTGTATATAAACACCCAACGGCCCCTACAAAATGATTTTTCTTATATTAGGGTTTTGCTAGGCGGCTGAGTCCTATCTCCTTCAACCTCTCAAACCCTAGTCTGAAGTCGGAATCCTCTTCACTCTGCAATCATGGGGTATGAACTAAGCTCTATATTTCCTTTCCAATTTTTATCACTCTACATTGTTTCTCTTTGAAGCATTTAATTTTTTATTTTTAAAACCAAATTCCTAGTTCTGATATTTGTTTTGTCATGTCCAAATGATACTATTGTAGGAGTAGACTGAACGAAAAAGAACTTTTTATTTCTTCTTTGTTAGTTAAATCTTTGGAAATCATTTTATTTTAGAGCAAGTTGCTGGATTTTAAGAAATTGAGTTAATATGATAGCTAGAAGCAGATAGTAGTTGTAATTTGTAATGGCTGGAATGAGATAGACCTGATATAGAGGGGGAAATAGATACGATGAATTTATATAGGTAACTCTGACTAGTTTAGGATTGAGGTGTGGTTAATTGATTTGGGCATGGAAACTTTATGTATGATGGATCTGGTGGAGAGGGCGGAGGTAACCGGTGGAATAGTCGGGTGCCTCTCAAGCTTGCACGGACACAACCATTATCAAGAGATGTTTATGTGTGATGGATGTGTGCACGAATTCATGGCGGATAATTTCGCAGAAATTTGATGATTTACTTTCTTGTTGCTTAAATCAGCTTTTATGTGATTATACAAGATGAAAAATTAGGAACATCTTATAGTGCCATGAGTTAATTGATAGAGATTTGATGTGCTTCTCGAATTAAGGATCAAGTTCTAAGCTGCTCTCATGACTTTGGGTATAAGAAGAAGATAACTGTCTATGAATTTCATTTCTGGTATAGTTTCATACAATTGGTCATCCAAATGTTGTGTAACAACCTAGTGTGAAGCATAGGCATAGTGTATTTCTACTAAATGACTCCTGACTACAGGAAGACACGTGGAATGGGAGCTGGACGCAAGTTGAAGTCCCACCGCAGAAGACAAAGGTGGGCTGACAAGTCCTACAAGAAGTCGCATCTTGGTAATGAATGGAAGAAGCCATTTGCCGGATCTTCCCATGCCAAAGGAATTGTGCTTGAGAAGATGTAGGTTTATCTTCGACTCTAGTTTTTCTGCTTATGTCATCCTTCAATCATGAAAGTTGTATCTAACCTATCAAGTTGCTGAAATGCGTTCACAGAGGTATTGAGGCTAAGCAGCCCAACTCTGCTATTCGTAAATGTGCTAGGGTTCAGCTCATCAAAAATGGGAAGAAGATTGCTGCTTTTGTCCCCAACGATGGTTGTTTGAACTACATTGAAGAAAATGTAAGTCTTTTGCTTTCACGTATTTTGGATTCACTGAAGTGTTTTCCCAGACCCCGCTTGTGGGAGCTCACTGGTTTGTTGTTGTTGTTGAAGTGTGAAGAGTGTTTTCAGTTTCGTCGTGTCCTAACTTAAATCCTTGATATTCCAGGATGAAGTGTTGATTGCTGGATTTGGTCGGAAAGGTCATGCTGTGGGAGATATTCCCGGAGTCAGGTTCAAGGTGGTGAAGGTTTCTGGTGTCTCTCTCCTAGCTCTCTTCAAGGAGAAGAAGGAGAAGCCAAGATCCTAAATTGCCTCTTTTTTTGTCAAAATACTCTCCGAGTGTGTAATGGACTTTTAGCTATCTTGAGTTTACTTTGTGAACTACTATTAAGTAGCGCATTGTACTGGAATTTTGGTTCATTTCTGTTGAGTTCATATATTACATGCTTCCTCCTTTCCTAACAAAATTGTAGCCTCTATGTGTTTTTGCCTATGCACTTTGATCAGCGTCAGGTCATCTTGGTTAAATTTGGTTATTATTTTATGTGGAGGAATCGAAAACTGGTCCAATTTTTGGAGGAAAACATATACTATGTCAAAGGTAGTCTGAAGTGAATGTTTGATAAGATAAATATTTCATTTTCGGATGCGAAGTGAAGTTGATGTTTTGTTTCTTGAATTATAAGATAAATATGTTTTTGCCTCTCTACCTGCATTAGGTAGGGGTAAGGTCTGCGTACAGACTACCCTCCCAGACCCAACTTGTTGTTGCGTACAGGGAGCTAGAAGCTAGCAACATATTAGTGAAGAGAGTTAATGCATTACCTGCTTTTTACTTCTAAAAAATGTTCTATTTTGCTCATTATGATTTACAAAACAAAACGACCAAAAAGCAAGGGTTCGTTTAGTGGGTAGCAAACATTTTCTCATACATTTCCTAGAAAACAATTTCTAAGAATAATTTGTTTTTTCGCATATTTTCCGGTGTTTGGATGGCGAGTAAGAAAATATTTTTCAATAAATGAGAATGACACGAATAGGATACTTGAAGTCGTCTATCTTGGGTCTATTATTCAAGGCAACAGGGAGATTGACGAGGATGTTACTCATTGTATTTGAGCGGGGTGGATGAGATGGAGGCTCGCCTCGGGGGTTTTGTGTGATAAGAATGTGCCACCTGGACTTAAGGGCAAGTTCTATAGAGTGGTGGTTAGACCGACTATGTTGTATGGGGCTAGGTGTTGGCCCGTCAAAAAGTCTCATGTCCAGAAGATGAAAGTAGCTGAAATGAGGATGTTGGTACATATTAAGAAAGACAAAATTAGGAATTAAGTTATTAGGGACAAGGTAGGAGTGACATATGTTGAGGACAAGTTGCGAGAATCGAGGCTGAGATGGTTCGGGCATGTGAAGAGGAGAGACATAGATGCTTCGGTCAGTAGGTGTGAGAGGTTGTCCATGACGTGTCTGAGGAAGGGAAGGAGTAGGCCTAAAAGGTATTGGGGGAGGTAGTTAGGCAGGACATGTCATTGCCCAGCTTACCGAGGATATGATCCACGATAGAAAGATGTGGAAGTCGAGGATTAGGCTTGTAGGTTGAATGATAGTAGTGTGTTCTTCCTAGGCTTACCAGTAGTACTAGGACGATTTTGTATTATCTTATTCATAGTTCTTTACTATTACATGTTGTGTCATTCACGCCCGTTACCATAATACATTGTTGTTACTATTGTTTGCTACTTGTTGCTTTATCTTCACTGTTCCTTAAGTCGAGTGTCTATCGAAAATAGCCTCTCTATCTTTATAAGATAGGGGTAAGGTCTGCATACACACTGCCTTCCTCGGACCTCATTTATAGGAATACACTGCATTTTGTTATTCTTGTTATTTGCTATGTCTGTGTGTTTGCAAGAGATGAGATGCAGAGTCGTCCATTAAATTTGTAAATCCATATTTACCAAAACCAAAAAGAAAGACCTTTTAAATCTTATTATAAGATGCATGCTTCACAAAATCAATGCTTTTACTGACTTTAATTCTTTGATCCCTTATAAACTTGTTTGCATGAAAATTTTGAGTTCTCGGAAATGAAGTCAAGTGATAAAATGAAAACGGAACTAACGTAATGTGCTCTGGTAAATCCTTAACAGAGCATTCTAAAGGATTTTTCTTGTTTTATTTAAGTATAATTTAATTCAAAGGGGTATAGTTAATTTCTAATACAACATTGTTAAAACAAAACAAAATAATTTTGATTATGAATGAATTTTATTATATGTAGTGTGACTAAAAAAGCTAAATTAATTTATATTTAGTGTCAATAAAAACCTAATTTTTTTTTTTACTAATTATCCTAATTTGATTGATCGAGTACCTAGCTAGTTCAGAGTAACAAAAAGGAGATCTGAATTTTGACTTGGGGCTAATAGTATACACTGCTTCTATCCCAATTTATGTGGCATAGTTCAAATTTCTTGTGTCAAACTTCTTAATTTACCGTGAATTGAAACATAGAATTTTTAAATTTTTTGAAATAAAATTCACATATGTAAAAACTACGTAAAAAGTACTATACGTCGCTATAATTAACAATTCAAACTATTTATAAGGAAAATCTAAAAGAATAAGAAAATGCCAGCTTATTTCCTTTTGAAGTGGATAATGAAAACTTTAATTCTCTGAAACACTTCTTAATGCAAAGACAATTGCACCTTGTGAGATTGATTGAAAATCTTACTAGAAAAGATTTCTAGGTTTTACATCTATGTAAATGTATCTGTGACACAAATCAGTACTTGAACATCAAAAAAGATATGTTCTCAAAAACCTTGATCTTAGCTGAAAGCAGAAGAATCTTGCATCAGATAAGCCTTTCCTCAAATGCTATACAATACTGATGCCTTTGCCACCTGCTGAAACTAGCCTTCTTGTACTTGAAGCCTAACCACCTTTGAACATCAAAGTTTACACACAATTAGCACACATTAATACATCATTATAAGAAGCAGAATAGGTTAAAGATTCGGTTTTTCATGAATAAAGTTAGACCACATTTTGGGAGAAAAGAAAAGATCTTGATGATAAAGATGCACTTCTCAGACTAATGTAAAGTTGTAATATTAGGATCGACAGATCTTTTTACCTTGCAATGAAAGCATGCTTGGCCATTCTCATAAATTGTTGTTTTCTTTATGATCAATTTCTAAAGAAGGAAGATCTAAATCAGTCTTCCCAACTACCTGGACAGCTTCTTCAGAAAAATCAAGAAAATCAGTGGAAGAATTCTTGATAGCGAATGGCATCCTTGCTGCTGCGTCAGGGGTATGTAGTGACAAATAGGCCAACTTATTCATTAGAGATTCAACCTTATCGCTAAATGGGGTTGTGCTGACTTCTGCTGCCTGACTGTTTAGTTGGTAAACATTTTTCTTTGTATTTGTTTTCTCGAGAGTATTCAAATCATCCTTGACATCTACTCTGTCTTCATCCCCTGTTTGGCACGATGGCATTATTTCAGCACCCTTGATAGTTGAGTCCTCAACTTGATCAATCTTGGTATTTTTGAAGTCACCATTTAAACTATCCTCCAAGTTCATCTCATTCTTCTGGATGAGCACATCAGAATTATAGTTAAGATTGCACTGAACACCTACTCCATCTCCATCAACTGTTTCACACCGTCTATTGTTTTCAGTACTTGAATCCTTCTTATCTGAAACAACCTCCGCAGTCTTGATGTCAGTATTCCCAGTAGTGTCCCAGTTCATTTCATTTTCCATAACGCGTACGTTTTCACCTTTAGTAGCAATCAAACCAGCAACCATATCACTGTTCAAAACACTTTGGCTTTCACCTGTAATCACAACCAAACCATCACTTGGAACATGTTCAACTGAATCGGGTCCTTGGTTTTCACCTTTAGTTGCAATGAAACCAGCAATCATATCACTGTTCAAAACACTTAGGCTTTCACTCTTAACCGCAACCAAACCATCATCTGCAACGTGTTTAGCTGAATCAGGTCCTTCAGTCACAACTTCCTTATCTTTCGAAGAATTTGCTAATCTTTGGTTTTCACTCTTAATCACATCCACATCATTGTTCGCCATGACTTGGTCTTCACTCTTAATTGCAACCAAACCATCACCTGGAACGTGTTCAACTGAATCAGGTCCTTCAGCCGCAACTTCCTTATCATTCGAAGAATTTGCTAATCTTTGGTTTTCACTCTTAATCACATCCATATCATTGTTTGCAATGACTTGGTTTTCACCCTTAATTTCAACCAAATCATCACCTGCAACGTGTTCAAATGTATCAGGTCGTTCAGGCACAACTTCCTCATTGTTCAAGGTACTTGCTCTTTGGTTTCCACTCTCAATCACAACTGTATCATTGCTCACAATGACGTGGTTCTCACTCTTAATTCCAACCAAACCATCAGCTGCAGCGTGTTCAACTGTATCAGGTCCTTCGGCCAACACTTCCTTATTGTTCAAAGTGCTTGCTATGCCTTGGTTTTCACTCTTAATTGCAACCAAACTAGCACATGTGTCATTGCCCACCACGCCTTGGTTTTCGCTCTTAGTTGCAACCAAACTAGCACCTGTATCGTTGCTGGCCACGCCTTGATTTTCACTCTTAGTTGCAACCAGACTAGCACCTGCATCGTTGCCTGCCACGCCTTTGTTTTCACTCTTAGTTGCAACCAAACTAGCACCTGTATCATTGCTGGCCACGCCCTGGTTTTCACTCTTAGTTGCAACCAAACTAGCACCTGCATCATTGCCCACCGCGCCTTGGTTTTCACTCTCAGAAACAACCAAACCAGCACTTCGAATGTTTTCAAATGGATCAGCTTCTTCAGCCACCACATCCATATTTTTCAAAGTATTTGCTCCACTTATTTCATGATGAACTTCAAGAGATAACTCAGGAATAAGAGTAATATCACTTGGAGCACCAGGGTGATTATCTGAAACATTTGACTTGTCTGTAGAGGATACCGGAGAGAGGTGCTTCAGATTTTCAGGCCTTCTATTTGCCCTAAGTGGAACTTTTACACTCTTTGCTTTCGTGTTTGAGTTTCCTTTTGGGCTACAGATGGTAGCTACAGTCTTGGGCAGTGCAGTAGAGTGATTAACTGAAACATTTGACTTGTCTGAGGAAGACACAGGAGAGAGGTGCTTCAGAGATTCAGGCTTTCTGTTTGCCCTAAGTGGAACTTTTACACTCTTAGCTTTCATGTTTGAATTTCCGTTTGGGCTGCAGACCGTAACTTCAGTCTTGGGCAGCACAGTAGACAAACTGGGATGAGAACCATTAGGAGTATGGACTGCCTTCACCTGCATGACAATCAATTTAACTTGAGAAATTTTTCTTTCCACTTGGTAATGATCTTATCGTCATTTATACTAGATGTTGTCATCACGTAAATTATTTCTAATTGAAGGACATGAAAAGTAAAACTGTATAAATAGAAGACTGAACTAACCCCGTCAAAGTAACCCATCTTCGGAGATGGCATCCGCAGTCCCGTTGGTTTCATAGAGGCCGGACGAGATATTGTGCCTGCTTGCTTTAAACTTCCTCTAGTTAAAGGTGTTCCCACAATTTCGGGCTTATTTGAGGTCTGATCACTTAAATGATTCTTCAGATCCAAAGTTGAGGTGTCACTGTCAAATGATCTGCAGGAGCTGGTATCAAGGCTAATCCTTAAATTACTTGACCTTTGGTTCATGGCAGCAGAAGATGACGATGATGCTGAAGACCACTCGCTAATAGAACTAGCAGGCGATATGCTTGAGTTGATCTTAGTGGACATCAGATAAGCTGAGACGGCAGAATTCCCAGACGGTACTTTACTCTTCAATGCAGCTTTTGAAGGGGTTCTAAGTTTTGCACTTGCAGAAGGTTGAGCAGTAGGTTTGCTGCTATCCACCTTTCTCCTCGCTGCAGGAAGTGAAGATTTAGCTGTCTTGTCCGATGAAGTACTTCCAGAGCTATCACTTGAAGATCTTGTTGAAGGTATTCTCATCGCAGCTGAAGAGCCGACAGAAGGGGCCTTCATAGACATAGCAGGTCTCGGTAACACCCTACTAGCATTATTTGAGGCAGATGCTTTTGGCGTCTGAGCCCCTCTAACAGAAGCTGTAAATTCCCATTAAAACAACAAGGCCAGAAAAGTTGCTTAAAAATATTTTCATGCCATCAATGTAAATTTAAACAAATTCTTTTACCGCTTACCTGTACTAGTTTTCGTGCTGTTATTATCAATTTTGACTCGTGAGATATCCAAAGAAGCCCTTTTGGATACACCTGCAGAAACAGGTTGCGACTTTGTGCTAATTTTTGGAGGCTTTAATGATGCTCCATCTGTAGGTCTGGTGATAGGCTGCATTTAAACAAAATAAGACAATGTCAGTAAAATATCAAAATCCCAGTTCTTTCGCTAATCAAACAAATGAGAGATAGAACATCTACTCAGCCTTTTTGACCAATAATTCAAAAGCCTACTGCCACCAGACTCAAAAAAGGTTAATTTAGAGAAGAGTGATGATTTTTTCTCTAAATGTAAGGAATTTCTTTGAGCTGACTATAGAAATGAAAATATGAAAACAAACAATATTTCTAATCTAACAATCAATCAACACTGTAAGGAATTTGTTTGAACTGGCTAATAGAAATCAAAACTAGGAAGTTTTATAAGAGATGTAAACCTAACAAATAAATCAAATATCAGTACGAGCTGCAATTTCTCAATCAGATGTCGGCGCTAAAATATAACTGATGTAGGTAACAGAAATGAAATTTTAAAGACAAATTACATGCCTGTGTGACTTGTGTCTTATCCTGCTTCAACCCTCCCAATCTTTGTGTTCCAGTAATTTGTTTTGGCTGACTTTTTGGTATCCCGGCTTGTGCTCCAATGATTCTTTTTGGAGCAAGCTTTGGCTTCATCTAACATTTGAGAATATAGACAATATTAGATGAGAACTATAGAATTATGAATAAAATCTGCAGGTGTCACACCTCTACAAAATTAAACTTACCCTATCTTTTGAAGCAAGGTCCACTTTCTTCACAGCTGTAAAAAGGTAAACATTAGATTGGAATAATTTGCAGGCAATATGCATCTTTTTTAAATTTCTTAGCAATATGCATCTTTTCTTGAACAACTGAAAAAAGATCTTTAACCCCATAGAAAGTAACCCCCCACCACTCCCCCCTCCCAAATATGCATGTATCCTCCACTCTCATTGAGAAAATATTTAAAACAAACAAAAAAGACAAGGACATTAAGATGGAAAATAAAAGTGCACACAATTTTAACTATTTCTATGGCATCGTTTGAGCTGCATGACCTACAAACTCATGTACTTCTATTTTCTCCAATCCATTTGAAACAAATCAAACAATTAACAACATTATATGTAACAGCTTCATGAAAATGAGCAAATTCATAGTCAATTTTTTAATAAAATAAGCTTACACTACAACTCCCTGCATGTCCTATTGATTTTAACTCTAAAAGCTAAGCCTAAAACTTCCCTCCTAATTTAGGGATGGAAATTGGGCGGGGCGGGTTCAGTCTTAACCCGCAAAAAAGCCAACCCGT